TCAAGCAATTCTCCTGCCTCAGCCTCCTTAGTAGCTGGGATTACAGGCACCCACCACCATGCCAGGCTAATTTTTTTGTATTTTTAAGAGAGACAGGATTTCACCACGTTGGCCAGGCTGGTTTCCAACTCCTGACCTCAAGCGATCCACCCACCTCGGCCTCCCAAAGTGTGAGGATTACAGGTGTGAGTCACCGCACCCGGCCTGGCCTAATTATTATCACAGATTTAAGATAAACAGGGAAGAAAATGCACAGTTATGCAGGAACCTCAGAGTACTGAAGACAGGTCTCAGATTAAACTACCAAAATCACCACCAGAAATCTGTGTAAGATCTACTTCTCTTCATAAGCAATTATCATTTGAATTTATATATGATATTTGGTATCTAAAGGTATTTTCTCTGTTGCATGACTGCTAAGAAAGATTCCTATTTGGACACTGCCATTTCTGGAGGTGCCTTTCTGCCCTTGTTCTGCCACTGCACCAAAGTATTTGTCTTACAAAAAAATTCCTACCCTAGGAATTAATTCTAGTGCTAAAGGTGTAATAGAAATTCAACCAGAAAGTTGTTTCAGCACTGTTTGTGGGTGGACATGCACAGGGAAATCTAGTTTTCTTGTGCCAATTTCATCTCATTTTTTCCTGACTCAGGGCAACCTTACAATAGCTTCAAAGAGTTTACAATAGTTTGTGACAGTTGCCTCCTGGCCAAAGGTAGCTACTCCAGTGCACTTGCTGGACTGTATTTCATTAGGCAAATGAAACGTGGGGTGATCTTAAAGCTGAGGTCATGAGACGGAGGCCACCTCTGCAGGTCACACAGTGTGAGGCAGCCAAACCTCCAGCAGCGATGCCAGGAGCCAGAACACAACTTGTTTTCATGTTCTCTGGTTTCAGCTTGGCCTAAAGAGAGTGTGAGCTACTTGAGTACACAACTGTTCAATAAACAACGTGACCCCTATTTAGAATCAGGAAGAGTCTTTCCACTGTTGCTATGTTTTTAGGCAGATGAATTAAAAAAACAAAGATGTATGGTGACATGTTACACTTAACTAAAAGGAAGAATATTTCCGTGTCTTCACAAACAGATATAAATAAATAGAGTTTCTGTTTTATGGTAAAACGCATTTAAATTTTAAAAAGTACTTGGCAAAAACTAATCACTACCAGAAACTAAATCTTTTCACTTAATTTAAATATTATACACAGACCAGCAGTACACATGTGCACGCACTCCCCTTTTCCCCCAAAAAGTATCTTCATTTAGAAAAAAGGGAAACTGTTAACATTCTGGTTCCCCTATGAGGACACTCAAAGCACTTCACAAATAATAAAGCGATCTGTCTATATTCTTTCAACAGACTCCTCAATCTTAATTAGTGTGATTATTTCTGTTTCCTGCCTTTTGTATGTGTCTGAATCTTTAGTCAGATTAGGAATCTTACAAGCAAGACCGTATAACAGGCTAATTCACATCAGTGCTGGTCAAATCTCGTCATGTAACCAGGTGAGCAATTTCTGACTTGCGGCATGTTACTGAACTGTATTTTCCTCATGGAGACAATAGTTCCCACCTCATATAATTATTATATGGATTAAATAAACTATCATTGGCAAGTATCTGATGCAAGTGTAAATAAAAGTAAGTTTTCTTCCTTTACCTCCAACTCCTCTTCTTCCTCTTTTGGAAGACAGAAAACTTTTTTCATATTTGGACCATAAGTGTCCATTTAAATTATAAAAGCAAAAGATTTTGGGGTTGGAGAAGTGCCCCAGGATACAATCTCAGATCTTTTTTCTCTCTTCTGTCCACATGCTTATATGAGTTTTTTCCAGATCCACAGCCTTAAATATCACCTATACATTGATAACTAGATATATCTCTAGTCCAAACCTCTCCCATAAACTTAATCCTCCCACTGCTTAATCAGCCTTTCTGCATGGACATCTAAGACACATCTCAAATTTCACACTTTCAAAACCAAAGCCTTGATTTCTCCCACTGATGTGTCTTGTTTTTTCTTATGCCCCATATCAATCTACAAGCATATCTGCTTGCGTATCTACAAGCATATTTTCTTTCAAATTATGTTCCAACAGCTTATTACTTTCACCATTACCACTCCTGTCCAAGCCCTCATCAACTCTCACATGGACACCTGCCTATGAAATGGTCACCCAGCTTCCACTCTTACCTCCTTACAATCCATTTCTCAGGTGGATTTCTCAGCCAGAGCAATCCTTTCAAAACGTAACTTATCAAAGGTCTCCAAAACCGTCCCCTCTCTTAGAATAAAATCTATGGCTCATGAAGTCTGGTCTACATCTGCCCTTCGTTACCTCATTACTTCATTTCTTACTGCCTGCTCTTCCCCTCACTCCAACCTCCCTAGCCTTCTTGCTGTTCCTCTAACATGCCAACGCACACTTCCGCCTCAGGGCCTTTGCACCTCCCCCAGATATCCACAGGATTATGTTTGAATGTCATTTCTTCCACAGGAACTCTTTTACTGCTTCCATCACTTTGTCTCTTCTCCCTATTGTAACTGTCTTTATAGCATTTATGACACTACTTGAAAATGTATGTGTTTGTTGGTTTGTTACCTGTGATACAAGCTCGAGTGGAGGTAGGGACTTTGTTTTGTACACTGCGGTACTGCAAGTGCCTAGAATAGAGCCTGGCGCATAGTCATCACTGAGTAAGAATTAGTTTAATAAAAGAAAATATTCCTACTATTGGTGGTCCAATTCATTTGGCAAATGTTGAGTTAAATGGATTCCTTTATCACAGGGTTTCTAATTTCCAGTGCGAATCTCTAATAAGACGAAAGGTATATGGTATTCATCAAACTTATTTAATCATGACAAACATTTTTTGAAGAGGGGCATCTTTGTGATATCAGGAAACTCATAAAGGACAGAATTCATTAATTGCTGAGATAGAACATAATTTCGTTTTTTTAAGACTGAGTGCAGTGGCGTGATCCTAGTTCACTGCTAACTCAGTCTCCTGGGTTCAAGAGATTCTTCTGCCTCAGCCTCTCAAGTAGCTGGGACTACAGGTGCACGCCACCATGCCCTATAATTTTTGATCCACTTTAAATTACATACAAGTATAATTTCATATCATGTTTCTGCTCAACCATTGTCTTACCATGTACTATTTTAGCCACAAATACTATATGTTCACCAGAAACATTTTTAAATGTTTTGATCCATGACAAATACCTTGTTCCATTTGTATTAAAATATGTGAATTAAATATATACATAAATATGTATAAACCTAGTATGTATAGAAGATTAATAGGTATATGGGAAAGAGAAATGGACACCCTTATTCTTTTTTCATCTTTTTCTATACCATAACTTTTCCAAAAGCTGCCATAATTATACATACAAGACATTTTAACTTTTCTTTAAATGCCATGTTATATTCCTTGCTTTTT